ACGCGGCATTTGATCTGTGCCTCTGGTACGGCAGTGTGTGAACTAAGCTGATGCATCTCTGTAAGGTAATAATTATAAGCCCAATTACAGCTATGCATACTGTTGGGAATACTCCTCTGGGAGTTTATTACTCTTTAAATACATGCTGGGCTTGTCATATACTTAGTTTCAAAGCTGTACACATATTAAACGACCAAATTAGCTATGTCCTTTTATATAGCCTGAAATCAGTTCCTTAAAGCAGGACTGCACCCTAAAAGGGAGGTTCTGGTTTAACATCTCCTTCTCCCCTCCCCACTTTTGGAGATTTGTTTTTTTTTTCCAGGGAGCAGGTACCTAGTTTTACACCCCGGTCACATCAAGCCCGACTTTGAAATCATGTAACTTACAGTGAAGTCGCATCATTTCAAAGTTGGGTGAGATGCTGATTTCAAGTGTGATTTGCAAGACATCTGACACAGATGTCTATGCAAATCGCACCAAAAGTAGTACATGCACTACTTTAGAAATTGATGCGGCTCCAACTAAGTCGGAACAGGACCGATTTGACCGTTCTAATAGCGGACAATAGGGTGCGACTTGGCATACGATTTGCAAGTCGCATCCGATGTGGCCGGGGTGTTAACAGATACCTGCTCCAACTGTCTAGGCAATCGAGGTGGAAGTTTTCCCCCACTCGCAACCTTCTGAGACAGGTCATTGAAGGCTGTAGGACCATTCATTCAGTGCAGCTTGTGCATGCACAGTGGGAAGCCACGAGGAGTCACAGCTGGCTTCCATTAGTGAACATGCTGCTGCTAAAGACCAGCAAAGAATCAGCCTGGGTTGACGACAGTGCTGGATTCCCAGACAGGTAGGTGTAGGCTTGCCACCTCATCCCTTTAAAACTGAACACATATTAATTACACAGGTTCTGAGGCCAATTTTTTGCAGATAAAGCACTAAGTGAATTTAATTACCACCTTAATAAGCCACAGAACCTGTGTAATTAATATGTGTTTGTTTTTAAAGGGATGAGGTGGCAATCCTAGCTAGGTGTCCTTTTTTAAAAAGTCAGCAGCTACAGTATTATTACAGGTGCTGACTTGTTCATTTTTTTAAGACTGAAAAATCCTCTGTAAGGCTAGGTTCACACCTATGCAGTTTTGCGTTTGATCCATTGCTGCAGTGTTTTTTGTGGTGCGTTTTTGCCACTTTATTATGCGTTTTGTATTTCCTTTAAAAATCTTTACTTGGCAGAATAAAATGCATCAAAAATGCAGTGCATGCTTTTCTGCAGCATCTCCACTGACATATATAGAACCAAAAATGCAATATTTTGCATTTAAAAAAGTCCCTGACCCTTTCCAAAAAATGCACCAGGTGAAAACATGGAGATGTGAACCTGTCCCATAGGAAATCATGTTAAATGGACTTCTGTGTGATTCTGCAAAACGCAGCGGAAAACGCATAGTTGTGAAACTAGACTAAGATGGTCTGAAATCAGCCCCATGTTCTTGTCTTCCTCCTAAAAGGTAATCTGTGATGAAACAACAATGTGGTTGGTGCTGCTGACATCCCCTTCTGAAAATTCCAGTTGCCTGTCTACCTTATATTTCCTCTTGCTTCAGTACTTTGCAAGTAACTCCCCTGGAACAAATATGTGTATCAGGAATTCAGATTTCATTTGTAGCATACCCGGGTCAAAGGCTCAGAAAGCATTTTAACCACTGCAGTACCGGGCACTTTCACCCCGTTCCTGCCCAGGCCAATTTTCAGCTGTCACACTTTGACAATTGAACAATCATGCAACACTGTATCCATATGACATTTGTATCATTTTTATGAGACAGAGCTTTCTTTTGGTGGTATTTAATCAGCACTGGGTTTTTCTTAGTTTCTGTTATAAATTTTCAAATAAGTAATTTTTCTTCTTCACTGATGTGCGCTGATGAGGCTGCACTGTTGGATACTGTTAGTCTGCCCTGATGAGACTGCATTGATGGATACTGTTAGTCTGCCCTGATGAGTACTGATGAGACTGCATTGATGGATACTGATAGTCTGCCCTGATGAGACTGCATTGATGGATACTGTTAGTCTGCCCTGATGAATACTGATGAGACTGCATTGATGGATACTGATAGCCTACCCTGATGAGACTGCATTGATGGATACTGATAGCCTACCCTGATGAGACTGCATTGATGGATACTGATAGCCTGCCCTGATGAGACTGCATTGATGGATACTGTTAGTCTGCCCTGATGAGTACTGATGAGACTGCATTGATGGATACTGATAGCCTGCCCTGATGAGACTGCATTGATGGATACTGTTAGTTGCCCTGATGAGTACTGATGAGACTGCATTGATGGATACTGATAGTCTGCCCTGATGAGACTGCATTGATGGATACTGTTAGCCTGCCCTGATGAATACTGATGAGACTGCATTGATGGATACTGATAGCCTGCCCTGATGAGACTGCATTGATGGATACTGTTAGTCTGCCCTGATGAATACTGATGAGACTGCATGATGGATACCCTACCCTGATGAGACTGCATTGATGGATACTGATAGCCTGCCCTGATGAGACTGCATTGATGGATACTGATAGCCTGCCCTGATGAGACTGCATTGATGGATACTGATAGCCTGCCCTGATGAGACTGCATTGATGGATACTGATAGCCTGCCCTGATGAGACTGCATTGATGGATACTGATAGCCTGCCCTGATGAGACTGCATTGATGGATACTGATAGCCTGCCCTGATGAGACTGCATTGATGGATACTGATAGCCTGCCCTGATGAGACTGCATTGATGGATACTGATAGTCTGCACTGATGGGTACTGATGAGGCTGCACTGATTGGGGCTACACTGATATTCAGTGTAAATGAAGTATTGATAGTCTTGGCAGGCATCGGACAGACTCACATCCTTACAGACTCAGCGTGTGAGGAAAAGACTACTGACAACCTGCAAGTCTTTATACATGTGATCAGCTGTGTTTGGACACAGCTGATCGCATGGTAAAGGGCTACAGTGATTGGCCCTTTACCGTAATCTTTGATCAGCTGTGTTCAAAGGACACAGTGATCACAGAGCGCGCCTGATGCGCCCCACGTACCCTCCCAGAACAAGAGAACCATGGTACTAAAGTGGTTAAAGTGGAACTACACTCAGCTCCAGTGATTTGGCATCCCCTGCGCTCATTTGGCCGCTGACATCATCGGGTGGCTGACTTCTGAGTCTCGATTGGAGGCCGCTATCATTGGCCAGGCAGGGATGATAGTGCAGTCAGATTCAGCATTGCCGAATTTGTACAATGAGCAACAGGTGTGCTGCTCATTGTACAGGGGCGCACAGGCAGGTAAGTAACTTTAGCGCAGGAGAGACAAAGCATGTCTCTTCTGCATTTAAATTCCTGCCTGTTCACCATTTTTTTTGCTACCTAATGTGTATCTATGGTCAAAATTTAAAATCACATGTAGCACCCTCTAGTGGTGCTAGAGAGTTAGGAAATTGTAATGGTTCACTCCGTAGTTGAAGTGAGCATGTCTGAGTAGGGCTCAAACTCAGGTTAGGCTGGATGACTCGGCAGGTTTGGCCTCTATCACCTCAGCCTGGCTCTGGAGGCCTGTGGAAGCTTCTAGAAGCCAGTGGTTGGAGGGGTGCAGACTTAGATCTGCATATTCATAGGAGTCTGACCAGTCCCAGGCAGGAGGTCTTTGCAGTGTAGGAAGACCTGCCAATAAATACGAGAGATCCATGCCAGCAGGGAATTTTGGGTGAAAGCTGGAGATGTGAAGTGCTGCTTTGTAGCCTGGGTGGGGCCTCGGAGAAGGAGTGTTCTGCCTCCAGGCTGGAAGAAAGGAAGGTGATAGAGGGAGCTCCACTGCCTTACAGTCCTCCGGGGAAGGATAGCCTGCAAGTGGGGACAGAAACTGGCTCAGTAAGAATCCTGAACACAGTTTACCCAGAACTACAGGATTCAAGGGCACTGTGAGTACCTCTACATCCCTGGGGCCTATAGGAGAGGGGACTGCTAGGTGCAATACTTAACCAGTTCTCCCTGGGACAGTTCTGCTTGCCTGTCTTGAAATCTCTTGCTCCAGGATACTCTTCATAAGACAGCCAGGTGGATGGGCATTTCCTAGTTGGGGTCTGAAGAGATTTCACTTAGAGAGGACCAGGTGCTCCTCACAGAGACTGTGCTATTGATTCATTAAGAGACTGTGCCACTCCAACTGGAGTAGGAAGTCCAGGGTCTTCCCTTTTTGTACAAAATTAGGAAGTTGCCCTCAAAGTTATGATTGTAAGTCAAATTTGGCATTCCATATACCCCTAGACCCTATCCAAGTTATTTTATCTCCAAATAAAACAACAAAAACAAGCTCATGGACTGGTTACTGACTTTGGATGCAAGTTGGAAAATGTGTTCTGCCTGGCTGTGCCGGAAGATTGGGGGACCCAAAACCAGCGCTTCCTGCAGAGGTGAGCTCTACACGTGTATTCATTTCCACCTTGTAATCAATTTTTTCTAGCCTACTCACATTATTCTGAATGATCTTGAAGTTACTTGTGAAGATCCCCACACATTTACTTCTTTGAATTCTGTGACATGTAGTCATTATGTTCTGTGAGCAGGTACTGCTGTGTCACACATTTCACAGAGCCTGCCTTCTGATCTACAGAGAAGCTGAGAGGAGGAGTTTCAGGAGGCGGAGTCAGTACAGGAATCCCTGCTTGCAGGTAGCAATGTACAATGGGATATGTAGTCCTTAGAAATGGGAAGAAAAGAGCAGAGGAGAAGCAAAGCATGCAGGGAATCCAGGAAGTTGTGAAAAGAGAGGACCAACAGACAGGCAGAACTCATATGATGAAATGATATTTTTTCAAGTAAGCTTATATTGGATTGGCAAATATAACTATTGTTTGTATTACTATTTCAATGCTGATGTTATAAAATGAAAGTGGCCATGCACACTGGGCTTTTGGGAGAAAAAAAAGCTCATATACAGCATATTTGCACACGTGTAGTGCTACCCTTGTGAGGGCCGCTGTAAGACATGGACCCCCAAAGGTTGCCCTCAGGGGCGGACTGACAACTCACGGGGCCCCCAGGCAATAGGGGATCATGGGGCCCCTGTGTCCTTGCCCAAACCTATGAAAAAGGTACCAGGGGCATCTCATGGGGTCCCCTACTGACCCCGGGCCCTCGGGCAGTGCCCGAGTTTCCAAATGGTCAGTCCGCCCCTGGTTGCCCTGACCTTGCAAGCCACTCGAGTTTTTACTAAGAATTAATCAGTCAGTAAACAGTAAATAACAGCTACCAGAATACCTCTTAGGCGGTAAACACCTTGCTATAAATTCAGACTGTGACCACAGTTGAACGTGGAAGAGATAAACACAATAAATCAAACCGTCTCAATTATGGTCAGTAAGGGGGCTTCTGACTTCGAGAAAGACTTTATGATGTCAGCCTGCTTTCTCAAAATCCTGATGCCACAGGTCCTGAAAAAAGCACACTCTGTATATTAAATGTATGAGCTATGCTAAGAACAGTTTTAAATAGAGAACCCCTTTTAACATATGTACATGGATAAGTCCTGGGTCCTGGGATTGAGGAGTATCAAGGAGAGTCCTGGTAGAAGTGATGTCCTGGGCCTTCAGCTAGCTCAATGACGGCCCAAAGGATTGCTGTGCAATGGCGACCAGCAATAATAGATATTTTATGTTCAGTAGATGATTCCAGGTAAAGGTCTCAAACTTGTAAGCAGGTTTGAGGTATAAAAGGGGACCGCATGCAGTGTCCCTTAGTGAAGAGTGTACATCGTATGGGCTTCTGCCCGCTCACCAATCCTGATGATACCACTACCCAAGGGATCTGGGGTGTCCTGGAAAGCTCCCGCAGAAACTGCAACCAGAGTTGGTGTGCTTGGCCTAGCACCTTGTGACACTGGGATTCTGCAGTTGACAAGACAGTGACGATGTTCACATCTTTGCTCAGTCACGTTTGCCGACAGGAAACTGCAGATGGATGTCTGGACTGCGCAGCCTGCTCAGCTCTCCACAGCAGCCAGGTCCCTGTTTGCGGCTTCAGCCTGTAGTCTCAAGAGGAAGAGTATTCTCCGAAGTCCGACTTATATATTTCCTCCCTCAACATTCACCTGAAGCCTATATTTCCAATCAGCTTTGGTTCCTGGCAAGTCTCTCCCATCTGGACTACATGCCCCACAATCCCCTGCTCTCAATGAGATCCTTCTCTGTCTCGGTGCCATCAAGCACAATGCCACTTTCACATCCCGACACTACTGTAGAGGGGGGGGGGCATTAATTCAACACAGTCATTATTGTAAATGTCTGGCGGTGGCAAAGATAGGTTGACCAGTACTGGGCTATACATGTTTAGGCGCGTTGAGCGTTTTTTTCTGTCATAATATTCCTCTCAAAAAAACAATCCAGAAGGGTTTTTTTTTCTGCCTCTAAATGCTGTGCTTAAAATATGCCTCTAAACATCCTAATGTGCATGGACACACAGGGGTTTATTTACTAAAGCTGGTTCACTCACAATCTCATGCGTTTCTGCACAGAAACCAATCAGTTTACAGGTTTTATTGCTGAAGCTTAACTAAGCAAGCTGAGGTTAGAAGCTTATTGGCTACCTTGCACAGGCACACAAATTTCTGAGTGAACCAGTGTTAGTAATAAACCCCATAGGATAATACTGAGCGGCTCCTGTAGAAGCAGCATTTTTTTAGCCAAGTGTGCATGGACCCAAAAAGTGAAGATGTTACATCGTAGGGAACATTTAGAAATGTTAGTAGTGCCTAGAGCCAGTCATTCATGGATTGAAATTTGGCTGGTTCCGTAGAGACCAGCCGAATTTTGATTCATGCATAGGTAAGTGGTTGTACACCAGTTGATCTATCGATTGTACAACCAGCCAGTTGGAAAATTTTCTCTCGATCAGCGAGGCTGGCTACAGCCAGTGGTGCTGATCAGTTAGTTCTGACAGCTGGGAAATATTCCTACTGTCAGAATTCAATAACTCAATGGGAGGGATTCCCCCATCCACATTGAGTGTGTTCATGGGTTAATTGAGTCAATTTCTTTCGTTCACTGGTTGAACGAAAAAAAATGACTCGTGTATGGCCAACCTAAGCTGTATCCTGAAAGATGTACCGTCCTTACCTAGGTCCTGTAGCCTCATGGCTGTATCTTTGCAGTGTAAAATCATCTAAGGCACTGCTGCCCCTGACTAGTTGTCTTATCAGATTTGAAGTGAGGTTTGGTGATCTCACTACAGCTGCTGCTCACTGTTCTTGCTTGAGAGGAAGCTGTACCTGAGGACTTACGGTGCAAGGATCACCCTATTTCTTCTTCATTAATTTTATGAATCTCTGTTTTCTGCACCTTTCCTTGTGCTTTTTGAATATTCTCTGGATGTTGATGGATGCGGATGTAAACGGATTTTTCTCATCCATCATGGGGCCCCTGTGTCTTTGCCCAAACTCCAAAAAGCCTATGAAAAAGGTACCAGGGGCATCTCATGGGGCTCCTTACTGGCCCTGGGCCCTCGGGCAGTGCCTGAGTTTCCAAATGGTCAGTCCGACCCTGTGAGTAACTGATGTTGGAGTGAGTGCAGGTAGTCTAAAGGGGCTGAATGAGATCAGCAACACTGAGATGTAAAAATGTATTAAAAGAATGTGAAAACAGTATTTTATGTTAAAAAAGTGGTAGTATTTAGGAGCGTATTTATCAAGATGTGAATGTTACATTTACCAAATATTTATTGGTGGTTAAAGAGGAACTTCATGCCTCCTGGGGTTAATTTTAATATTTAATCCCTTCTTACTTGGTATGGTTATTTGAACTGGATTATCATACTTACCAGCCCAATAAACCCAGCACTGTCCTGCTGTGAAAACCTCCACATTCCATATCCTACACCGCCATCTTCTTTGTAAAATCATCAGGAGGCTGGCTGTCGTTTCTGGGGCCTAGCAGCTGGTCTCCTGATGATACTCATTGGGGATGCGCTGTGGGTTCTATGCAGCCCTGAAGCGTCCTGGGATGTGGGATTAGGCTTTTTGGTGGTATATCATTGTGACTTAAGTGAGAAATGCAGAAGTACAGACTGCGCTCCACAAATAAAGGGTGCCCCCCCCTAAAAAAAAAAAAAAAAAAAATTATTGATAATTGCAATAAACTCACAATGGGAAGATAAATAGTTAATACTTGATGACAAATTCATCGAGTATTAAATTCATATGACACATTCATCAAGTGAATGTCACATTCACTGCATTATAAAGTAGCTTCTTAAGATCCAGGGACAAAAAAAAAAAATCAGTGATAACTTTTCTGGGAATCTAGAGTAGTTGGTAAGTATGCTGGCATATTTTCCACTAATAAAGCTGCCTTGTCTCCTGTGTAGACTCTGAAATGTTCAAGTGCAACTGAGCATTGAGGCATATTCCTCTTGTGCCAAGCAGTACAGTTTCATTGAGCTGTCCTGGTTTCTTTGCCGGGTGAATGTCTGGGGAATCGCAGCTACAGGCTCCCATAACATTGTCAGAAGTAAATTGACATTTAAACTGAACCCTGAACTCTATCGCCCCCTGGCAAGGCTGCTCAGCCAGCTCTGAGATGTTAATTGAATTATGACAGTCCTGAACTTTCACTGCAACTGGAGAATTCATACAGAAAATATTTTCTAATGTCTCAGCTTTGGGTTTTTTTTTTTGCTCTTGTGAAAAATAAAGATTCATCTTTTTGGCTGCTAGGTATGTTGTCAGCTCTCGGAATAATGTGTGTGCTGAGGTCTGTATTAGGTTTTGTTATTCTGTGCCGTTTCTCATATTAAAGCTGAATGCCGGGAATGAGGCGAAATCTACCCTTCCAGTGACCCCCCCCACACTCAACCCCCCCCCTGCAGTCCCACACTGTAATGGTTGAAGGCTCGATTAGTCTAGGGGTACAGCGATAAGCACAAACAATGTTGTCTCCCTTCTGTAAAACTACTAATCCCTCTGCCCCCATGTAAAAAATGAGGCAGGCATGTTAAATTCACGCTTGGGTGACAACTATAGCTTCCTCCATAGATAAAGATATGAGTGTAGCCACTTTAGTACAGGAAGTTGTGTTTTTTACAGGACCACTGAAAATAAGGTGGGAAATGCCGGTGAGGACCGTTGACTTGTGATATATAGGGTTTACATATACTTTAAAATGAATCATAAGTAGCAAGATGTTGGGTGCTGCCTTTGGTGCTGATGGCCTTTTTAACTTTACTTTAAACTTTTAACTTAACTTACTAGCTGCTTACAGGTATGTCAAAATAAAGTCTAGAATAGATGACTTAAAAAAAGAAATATAGCAAAGGTTTTATGGCCATACTTCTCTTGAGGGTGCTCTCCTGTGAACCAGAATAAGCCGACAGTAGGCTAAAAGCCTGCTGTTGGCTAATGTCAAAGGTTAGGTCCAGGCTCTGGAAGGATCCCGACAGTAATGTCAGGATCCACCCAGGTGCCTGATTGGCAGCTGGTTCCAGCTTTCAGTGCAACGCTGAGAGCCTGAGCCAGCCAATCCAGCCCCCTCCATAGCCCAGTGCTCCAGTGAGCACTATAAGGACAGCACAGAGGCTGACAGTCTCGAGCTTGGAGCCAAACCTATGCTGCTTCAGGGAGGTATGTGTGTGTTTGTTTTTTTTTTGTATTCTCACGCTTCTTCTTTAATGATCCATTAAAATCTGTCTAGCATATAATTAGTAACATTAGTCCATAAGTATGGACATCCCTGAATTATCTATTCTCATCCAGACATATGCATACCTGGTTCGACTTACGCCTGAGAAAAAAAATTACATATACGATGCAGTCTGTCAGTAGCATTAAAGTGACACTAAATGATATCATTACTCTCCAAAAATGATCCAAAAGCATCCAAAACCTGTAGTAGGGCCACTTACAACAGTGAATGCCAGCTTCCCCAGTGACCCGCTCAAGTATGAGACATGCGTACTTATGTTGTTCCCCAATGGACCAGTGTAAGTATGCAATAAAGATCATTCCTGGAGTTCAATTTCACCACATTTATTTTGATTCACCTGGAATGTACTGTGCTGATTTATACTATATGTTTAGTAACTTTGAAAAACATCCTTAGCATTTCTAGCCTTGAGTAAGGGCAGATGATTCATGTAGCATTTACTTCCTGGAGTCCATCTGTCCTTAGCTCAGGCATGTAGGCAGGAGGGTGTGCTTAGATGAGGAAACCCCTCATCCCTTCTGGAAGTCTCTTGGGATGTATGATATCATTTTGGCCTGGGTCAGAAACCAGGAAGCAATTGCCCATGACAGGCTCAAGCAGGACAGGGGCTTTTGGAGGGGACTAGGGGTTAGCCTTCTACCCACTGATTATGGCCCATGGAGGAGACCGGGGATTTGATCTGCTTCTCATGGTCAGAGCATGGAAAAGAACTCAGTGATGAACGCTGAGAGCAAGGCTTGGATTGATTCTCTGAATAAAGACAATAAAGCTTTGTGACTATCGCGGCGTCAGACCCCAGCCCTTCTCACCAAACTCGTGACCGAAGGACTAGCCAATCTAAAACCGCGCTGTCATGTGCGTAAAAATGCCACGCCCAGCTGCACCCTGCACAAAGATTTTCCAGCTAATGGACCACAATCTGTGTACCGGCAGCCTGAGAGCGATTGTTACTGGGTCAGGTTAATTACGCAATTAACCCTTCACACTGCCACCACCTCCTTTTTGTACAGAGAAAGAGGAAACTTGGCAATATCAGCAATAACACTATGATGTCTGAATATTCATTTGTATACACAATTTCACTGCAGACAGATGTATGCAGACATTTAAAACACACAGTAGCGCTCTTCACAGACAGGGGTTCTTAGTTTGCATTAAGGAGCTTTAGAAACAGTTCAACACTTTCATAAAGTAAGATTTATTACTAAAAGGTCAAAAGAGTGCAACAAAAATATTTACAGAAAAGATGTAGCCTATATATATATATATATATATATATACACAGACAGCAATAAAACAGCAATAACAGCAAGGAATTTAGGGAGATAAAGTACTTGCCAAAAGCCTGGTTTAAGCAGATCAAGTTTCCTGAGACAAAAGGGTGCCTTATCTCCCAAAGTTAGTTCCGATGTTAAAAGGGAGCTTCTTCAACTTCAACTCAACTCAGCTTAGCTTAACTCCAAGCATAACAGCCTTTTTCTAGGAACTCAGCAGGGTGTCTCCTTAAAGCAGAGAACCAATCGCCTCATTTGCGGAGGGGTGTTGTAGGCGGGGAGCTCAGGCTATGACCAAATCCCTCCCAAATTATATTATGGTCTAACTTTTTCTAGGTACATGTAACATTCTATTCACAGGTAGATTAATACGCAGAATCATCTGCTGAATGTCTAGATATGAAATATGACATACCTGCTGGGATGGTTAAGGAGATATCATTTTCTGCTCTCCTGTTTGTGTCAGCTAGGGGGTGTAATATATCAGACGACTTGTATTAAAGTGACCAGTCTGAATATATGCCTGGTTTTATGTAAGTCTTTCATATTCCAAGATATGTAATCATAGGGGAAAATTGATCTTGAATGTGATGTCTGCCTTACGATTTATCTGGAATGTCTTTGAAACTCAGCGAGGACTTGGTTTATGGCTTTATGATCCCTTTCTAAGCAAGAGTCTCGCAGACATACGGGGACCAGGCTAATTGGGGTTTATAGCCATGAGCTCTCCCGCTGGGCCTTGATGCCTTTTTGAACTCCGCATCCAGGGACCACGTATCACTCAACAGAGATGGAGGGGGGATGTGGAGGAGCTGATTTGGAAGTAGAAATTGATAGGAAGATGGAGGCCTTTGCCAAAATGGAGGTTCGTATCCATCTCTGTGTGCACAGTTGCTACAAACTTCCTTTCTGGTGTGGGTGGAAAGGTGTAGTATTGATCTGGTACAGGTTAATGGTCAGGGGAAATATGGGCCCTCCTGCTGACTGGATTGAAGAAGCTCTTCCATTCGGGACAGAAATATTTATCAAGAATCTCCCTCAAGAAATCTATGAATATAAATTATTTTCACTTTTTCAGACTGTGGAAATAGTCGACAGATTATACAAGTGAAAGGCAAACACCTGAAAGACAGTATGTGTAATGTACTTTGTATATCCAGGGGTGTGGGATCCTGTCTGGGGTGGGATCCTGGCTGGCCTGGGTGCCTGGCTGTTGATTAGCTTACTGTTAATTTGATCACTGTTAGCTGCTAGCTGTTAATTAGATTACTGCTTGATTAGATCACTGTTAAATGTTAGCTGTTCACTAGAACTGTTAGATGTACTGTACTGTTAGATTTAGTGATGATTTTCCTGTTTACAGGTTGCATTGTTTAGGATCATGTGATCAAGCTCTAATCTGATTTTGTGTGGTATAAATTCTGTGTGAATTTTCAATAAAGTAGAGTTGTGCAATGCCCAGCTATAATACCTTAATCCTGTGTAGAGAAAGCACCCAGGCGGGGTGCAGGCTGTCCGTCACAATATCATTATATTTCTTTGTTAATGCCTGTGGAATAAGGATTAAAAATAGTTAACATTAATTGAGTTTAGTTTTGCTTTAATGCAGAAGCAACAGAAATTTTTCCTATTTACTAAACATACAAGATGACAATCCTATAAAGCCGATCATCCACATAGCTT